GTATTTTTGCTTATATGTACATACATTCATGAATACCCTTCAGTTTTAAAGACTACAATTGAACCCATTACTTTCAAGACGTTCAAAAACCATTAAATAGAAGGTACGTTGTTTTTTTTTTTTTTTTTTTGGATCTAGGAACTGTTTTTGGTTACAACAGGTCTCTGCTATAAGCTTTGATGCCATCAATGCTGCTTCAGGTTTCGGCATTAATTTGGAAAGAATCGTTCTTGTTTTTTACAAAGCATGATTTTGTTTTACTATTTGGAAATAATTCCATCATATACCTCTGGGTCCATACAACGCACTGTAACACCATATAATACCCTACACCAGTTATAAAAATAAAATGTGATTTACTGTTCGTAATATAGTATTTAAGTTGAATTGTACCTCAGATATACTTTACCCATTTTTTGTTGAATAAAATTGTGTACATTTAAATCATATTTCGAAGGTGACTTTGTGTAGGGGCTAGGGTCAAATGAGGCCCTATTATTAAAAAATCCGCCAGGGTCAGAAAGGCTAGTATAGAACTTGGTTTTACAGCTTTTTGTCGAGATACGAGTATATTGAACATAATTATGAACTTAAAAGCCGTATAGGGGGGGGGGGGGGTTGGGGTGTACAGTTGTATGGGGGCTAGGTCAAATGTTGGACCGATGTTACCCATTTTCAATAGGAGTCTCTAGTACAAAAGAAGATCATGTGCAAAATTTCATTGGATTATCTTCAAAATTGCGACCTGTAGTTTGATTACAAGGTTTACAAGCCCCTACCTGATGTTCAGTTGTATGGGGGCTAGGTCAAATAATGAACCGATCATTCGTCACTGAGACAATAGAAGATCATGTACCAAATTTCAATGAATTATCTTCAAAAATGCGACCTGCAGTTTTATTATAAGACGGACGGACATAGCTAAATCGACTTAGAAAATGATTCTAAGCCGACTTGTATACTTTAAGATGGGTATAAGACCAATATTATTGTGCGTTACAAACATCAGCACAAACCCAATGTACCCTCTCCATTAAAGTGGTGTAGGGTATAAAAAACATTTAGATTAGTAAACATCCATACAACTTGTTATAAACACCTTTTGAAGTATATTTTTTATGATTTTATTTTTGTTACTTTTGAATTTTATTTTCTTCGTAATAAATTATGAAAACATTTTTACAACGAAACAGAAAAAAAAACTCTTGTTAAGAATGAAATGAAATTGTCTTTAAAGAAAATAAAAAATCGTAAGAATAACAACAAAAAATGTGTATATGCTTTTATACTACCTGTTTAGCATAATAAACGGTTATGAACCATTTTTATTTTCACTCTTGAAAAGCGTAAAAAAACATTTATTTAATTTTTTTATTTTATACTTCTACTTAACTTTTTGTCAGAATTTTTACCACAGAGTATCTAAAGAATAGCATCTTAGAGAAATTGTTTTCGAGTATTTCTAAAAGAAAATATTACTTTATGTAATTTAAATTGAGATTTTTAACATGTTTAATGAAATTTCTTAAAATCATGGTAAAACCACTCTTTTTCGCCATTCACTTGGCAAATGATTGTTGACTTTAAAGACCTGGTGTAAATGTTTATGTACATTTTTACATGTAATACTACAACTTTATTATACATATGTACATATTTTTTGGTTAAAAATGTGTATGCAAAAAAAAACCTTTTTTAATTAAATTACAATGCCAACAGCTAAATACAAAAACACTTTTACATACACACATACAGCTGTAATATTAATATGAAAGGCAAAAAATGCACATACATACCAACTTTACTATATTTCCAAGTAATGTTGCAAGTAGTACTGCCCCGCAGTTTTGTAAGATGTCAATGTATTCTATTTATCATCTATGTAATTGTAGTAATGGAGAGAAGAATTTAATTGCCACTTTAGCGTCTCTGAGTGAAGCAGTCATTACTTAAGTGTGCCTATACATATGTAAATCTAAAGAGTAGTAACTTTAGCCATTTTGGTACTGTTTCTTGCTTATTTGCCCAACCACAAGTAATCTAATACATAATGAATTATTTGTAAATGTTTAAATAATTAATCAAATTGCTAATATTGTACGTAATCCTTAATGATAGAAATTTCAATAGTTTAGAACAGGCATTACGAACTCCAGGGTAGCAGTTATTGTGACAGCTCCAGTAGTACAAAATAGTAGTAGTAGTAGTAGCAGTCTGATGTCTGAGCCATAATAGAGTGGCATTCACAAAGTACCTACCAACCAGCAATCATGCATATGAAATGGGTAGATGGCAAGTGGCAAGTAGTCATAGTAAAGTACATCAACAAAACCTTATGACATTTTATATATTCTTTGTTTTTTTTTTTTTTTTGCTACAAATGTAAAATTATAAAAAAACAAAAGCCGTAACCACAATATAACATTGTTTATATTTTTCTTTAATTTTTTTATATTTGTTAAGGCAAATAATAAAATGATTACCGGCAAAATATTAAAAATACAACAATAAAATGTTAAAAATAAAGAGAGAAAAACAAATAACAGGAAGAAAATATTAAAATAAGTTTATTACTAAAATAAAAGTTTTTTAGTAGTTTAAAATATAAATAAAAAAATCTACTTAACTAATTGGAAAACAACGTTTTTTTATGATTGTTGAATGCAATAAAATTATGCGTTTGTTTGGTATTGCCTACTTTTAGGTGACGCCATAAAGAATTTTTTGGGTTAAGAAAATTAAAATCTTCTTATCAAGAGAGATATGAGATATAGACTTATACAAATATCTTTTAGGAAATGTTAAGAAGTTAGCAAACTCCACTTTTATTGTACATATATGTTTTATATATTCTGCTGTTCATTATACATACATATTAAACCAAATTCATTTGGAGATTGCTATAGCAGTTTTTTGTAATAAAAAATGTTGCAAACATTTGAAGTCTCTCAATTTATGCTGGAATGATACCTTGCTTATAAAACTGTAACAAAAACTATGTACATTTAAATAACACCCACGTTTTATCTCGTGTCAGTATATTTATGAACATAAAAAAATTATTTTCGCAAATAATTATAAATTATACTGTCTCTCACCTTTACTAGTTTTTTTTATTGCAAAAATAAATTTTAATTAAGTAGTTATTAAAATAATTGCAAAAACTGACATAAAACAAATTAATATGACAATTTATTATCAATTACTTTTGAAATAAATGGAAACTATTCCTACACTCAATGTATACAACTTGCAGGGTGTAACAAAGACTACTTTATACAGACCTGGTCAAAATGGGCCAAAAGCAATTAGGGAAATTTTTAAAAACAAAGCCATACCAAGTAAACTTGTCCCACATATGCCACATCCTTATCAAGGAAGAAACTTGCAGATCGCCTACCAGGTATTGCCTACTTGAAAACTGGGGACTTGGTTGCACATACATACATTAGAATTCCCGACTGTGGGTCACCAACTATGGTTTTCGATAGATCATTAGTACACCGAATAGGGACATATGGACAGATCAATCTTGGTGGCAAGAAAAAGCTGATCAAGTTTGGTTCACAGATGGGTCCAAACAAATAAAAGGCGAAACAGGAACGGGCATTTATGGGCCCAATTTCCAAAATGGCATCCCCCTTGGACAATATCCTTCAATCTTTTAAGCAGAAATATACATACGCCATCTTTATTTGTGCTAGGGAGTGCGTTAGAAGATGAACCAAGGGATTATGAATTTTTATAATGTCGGATAGCCAAGCATCACTCAAGTCACTCTGGCAATGAAAGAGCAGACTGCCTAGCAAATAGGGGCACTCATCACCAACTAATCGGCCCTGAGCCGAGCATTCTCCGAGGATATGCCAAAACTAAATGTGACTCTTGAGTGAAATCTGAATTTATTCTCCATTGGAAAACAATACCAGGGCTCAGACAGACAAAACGTTTCATTACACTGTCAAAGGGAAAATCCCAAAAGCTACTGGAGCTCAATAAAAGCGATGTTAGAGTACTAACGGGATTACTTATTGGACATTGTGGTCTCAGATGCCATAAATTCATTCTAGGCAACTCTTCTATGCAGATTCTGTGGCCTACAAGACAAAACCTCACAACATATCTTATGTAACTGCCCAACATTAGGGTCTCGCAGAGCTAAGATCTTGGGTGCTGCCTTGCTAACCAAAAAAGACAACTTCAACCTCTCACCACTAAACGAGTTACCTTCGTGCGTGAACTAAAACATGTATGGTGAACCAATGGGCTGCACAAAAGATCCACACATAGGGCGCAGTGTTTTGTGCTCCTTCAATCTAATATAAGTAATCTTTAGAATTAACTCTGGAATTAGCTCTTATGTTGTAACTAAATTTTTAGAAAATATACATACGTATGTTAACTTTGTACCCATTACTGCATTTAAGTAAAGTTAAATAACAATGACTATATCCCTTCAGATTTTATATTCATTTCTTTAACTTTTTTATAGTTTTTATATGACTTTTTCCACGTTCTGCTGAATAGTACAAATTAAATTTTATTTTGCAAACTGGCACGTTTTGTACTTTATGACTGTTTTTTTTTAAATTAAAACTTAAGAAAAATCTATAAATGCGCTTCCTTTTTACTTAATCCTTGTTAAACTCTCTTATTAATTCAAAAGTATTTGTGATAATTGTAGAAAACTTTCGTTTGCTTTGGAAGACAAAAGGCAAAAAGAAAAAGTTTTTACTTTTTATTTTAATTATTTCAAACTAAAAATTATAGAAATTTGCTTTTTAGCAAAAAAAAAACTGAAAACAACGAAAAAAGTTAAATCAGTGAACAAATTATTAACGTTTGAATAAATAAATTTAAATAATAATGTTAATTCGAAAAATGAACTAATTTGTTACAACAATATTGTAAAAATTATTTCAACATTTATTTTTTCAATAAAAACAAAATAAATAATAACCAAAATTAATTTATTTTGTTACATATATTTTTTTCTACAGGGGTAAATATGGGTTATATCGAAAACAACTATTCGAACTCGAACAATGGTGGCAGTGTCAATTCACAGGACTCTTTGTGGCAGGTGAAAATGTCAGGCGCCGCAGGTAATCAACAGAATATGATGCCAGTATCGCACAACAATTATGTTGAACAACAGCCCACCTATGGCTATGATCCATTGACACATGGTGGTTATGGTGGCGTCGACGATTATGCACCCTATCCACAGCTGACAGCAACACCCAGCCAACACGGTGATGAATATCATAATTTACGCAATAGCCAAAATCCATCTAGACAAGATTACTGCAGTGATCCCTATGCATCAGTGCAAAAGCCCAAAAAACGTGTTGACCAACATTTAGGTAAGTTTCAAATTAAATAACAAATAATTAAATATTAGATAATTGTTTCTATATAATATACATAATATTAGTTAGTCATTTATATAATAATAACAAAGTACGTCTATAAATTCATATTGACATAATAAGTAGGTAGTTTGTAGCACAGTAAAAGTATTTGGTAACCAATAGCAACTTTTTGTTGCCATTGCTGTGTTGTTTAGGATGATGCAGATATAATGCTTTACGTAAATTTATTGTGCTGTTTCTCGTTGGTAGTATTTCTTACGTCTCTTGTCCTTTTTTGCGTTAAAGAACCCAGGACAACATTATTAACATGGTATTTTATAAGAATTTTACAAAGTCAGCATTAGATAAATTAAATTGACATTTAATACGGACAATGATGATGATGATGATTCGGTTGCTGTTGCCCTTGCTACCACTTACTTACAACAACAACAACTAACTGCTGGTAAATAGCTGTTAATAAATGTACATTTGTATGTATAAATGTGTTTTAATACGTTTCAACTCAAGTGCTTTTAAATAAATCACCTAAAGCCCTTAATAACAAGCATAAGGAGAAGAAAAAGTAATAATGCCTATTATCAAAAAAAGACCTTAACTAAAAAGACAAGATATTAGAGTGCACATACATACATACATACGTATAGCCTTTAGCCTTTCAACAGCTAAAGTAGTGATAATAATTGTATGAAGCGTCATTGGCAGCCCATTGTAGTACGAGCAAGTAAGTGGTAACAATACACGCACATGGAGAAAAAATATTGTTAAATATGACTATAGTAATTATTCTGCAAACTGGATAACACGAAATTTAACAATATTATGGTCACTGTAATCAATTCCATACTTGTCGTAAGTATATGATGTTAAATCTATCAATCAAATGACTGCCACAAACGATTATATATTTGTCTCAATCAAAATTTGTATGATTATCATGTATAATAATCATGGCATTAAAAAGTTTATATTTTCTGAAGGTTGCAACAACTAAATATATAATTAGAGGGATCATAATATGATCATATTAAGTAACAATTATATCCATGTTCAGTTATATTTGTTCTCCGGTGTGAAATATTAGATAAAAATTTATTAGACTTTTTTTTTACTACTTTGCGTATATGTATGAATTAAAAATGTATGTCTCTGTGTATGTATTCACATTTACATACAAACATATATGAATAAAATGGATAATAATGTGGTTGTTGTGTCTATGTAGCCAACAACAACATTATGAGCAACAGCAACAATGGTGACAGTAATAGCAACCGACTACAATTTGTGTTTATCCTGATTATCCTTGTATTACAATTGCTGATTGTCCTTGTGGTTTTTAGACTTGTACAAGTCAATGATACATTTGAAATCTACTACACCAATATTATAACACATTGAACTTCTGACACACAGAATCACTTTCTCCTTTTTGTATGAGTGTAAGTAAAGCTTGATTAACAATATTTTTATGGTTTTAATAACCATAATCAGAAAATTATTTTTATTGCAAAGAAAAGTTACCAAAATTATGACTAGATGAGGGGGGTGTTTTAAATGTATTTATACACTTTATCTTTTGAATAAAAAAATATAACAGAGTGACCAGAGTATATTTCCTCGAATTTACGGTAGTCAGGACATCGCATTCTCTACAAAAATGTCTAACCGGAAAGCTCTCAATATATCTTGCAAAACTTCAAAAAATTAAACGAAGGCTAAACAAGTAAGAAACAGGAATGAAATTAAGTCGGTCTAAAAGTGACCGCCTGTCATATTTATCAGAGACTGAAAGCATCTGCTCATAAAAATCAAACAAATTTTTTAAAATCTAGGTCTTGTATAATTTTTCCAGAATGAGTGCCTATTACTTTTTTCTTAACATATTTTTAGCAATTTTATTATTATATTTTATTAGCATACTTTTAGGCATATTATTGTGCAAAAAATCTAAAAAATCTTTTTTATATTTTTCTCGTTTAGTGACTTTTAGTTTTAATTAATCATTTCTTGTCTTTATTATTTTTTGTCTTGTTTTCACAATTAACTTTTCAATATTTTTGTGAATAGATTTCCTTTTTGATTGTAGATTAGTTTCAACTTTTCTCAACAGTGTTTGTATGTTCTGTTAATATCCAAAACATAGGGTTTATCTATTTGTCATAAAATGTCAGAAAGTTTATTTTAATCAATCATTTATTATGACATGGGCAGATGGAAAGAAATAGGAAAGATAGTTTGAGTTCAGTGTATAATTTGTAAAGTTATTTTACTTAAAATCTGATGTGATATATGATAAATTGATGAGAACATAATAGGATGACTGTGGTCAAAGGATGGCAACTAATTTAGAAGCTAAAAGCTAATTTCAAGTAGTTGGGGTTATACAGGGTATAAGTTTACACACATATTAAGTTTTTATGGGGATTTTTTTTTACAAATTGAAAATTTCGATAAAACTTAAACTTTAATTAAAGTTTGTATTTTATAAATGTTTTGATTAATTGTGGTTAAATATAATTTTAATTAGTTGTGTTATGCATCATTAATTAAGATTTTTTAAAATTGAAAAATTTGTTCATAAAATCTCTTTGCTGTTAGTTTTGTTCATATGAATTAAATTATTCTGTTGAATAAGTTTATCTATAAATAATAAATTCATGTCTGCTGGCCGGTTAAATTCAACCAAAATATTTTACCTTTTAAATATGGTAGTAATAAATTCCATATAATCGTTTGCTTTTAAATAAATCTTTAATAATTAATCAAATATTGAATTAATTAAAATTGCAAAAAAATAAATAAACAATTTCCCAGTGATACAACATTCTAACGTGCCACCGAGTCGAGTTCATGGCCAAAAACCAAAACTAGAAAAACAAAGTAAATTTGAATAAATTTTTACGTTTTATTATTTTAACAACACATCCATCTATATGCATATTTAAGCCACATATGCAAACAAGGCATAAATTATGCTTAGAGAAAATAATCATAAAAAAATGTTTGAAAATGCTTGAATGAAATAAAAAGAAAACTAACAAATCTCTACCATGAACACACACGTACTATTTGACAAAATAACATTCCAGCAGTTTTGTAAGGAGTTATAAAGTATCCTTTTCTAAAGAATTTTTCCAATAGCTAAACATTTGGTTGTTATATTTTTGGCTTATTTGGTACGTTTGTATTCTTGGTAATGCGTAGAAGATCAATTAGTTATTTTATATATCCTAGGTAGTCTAGCAGGAAGTTAATCTATACTTTATTATTCTATTTGTATATTGAAGGTCACACATACATATGTATGTATGTATGTACGTCCCAAACTTCAGGGATATGTGTAACTTTAAGTGCTTTGTGTGTGTGTGTATGCGAGTGGTATAACTTAATCCCCATTTAACACTTTTTAGCATATTTTTACTCTTCAACGGAAATATTGTTAGTGTTGTAAAAATTCTAAGTATTTCTAATGTTTTCAACTAATGTTATTTTATCTATCTACTCTGCGTATGTTTTTTTGTGTTTATTTTTTATATGTTATGAAGGTGGTTGTCGAAAAAATATACTTAAGTATGGTCAAGTGGCACTGTGGTTAGGAATATTTTGAAATATGAAAATTTTCAAAGGATTTCTGATTAAGATTAATAATCAATAAAAGTTGCCATAAAAACAATCAAATAAATAGTACTAATTGTAGGTTAGAATGATAGGAGGATGTATACTACATTAAATACGTAGAAATACACCTAGTACTCTATCGGGTCTGTTGTGCGCTCCTTATCATAAAAAAAAAAACAGTTCACTGAATGAATTTTTTTTCAGTGTTCAGAAAATCAGTTTCCTGAACATAATTCTTAAGAATCTTCCAATCAGGGTTAGTCAGGAATGTTTTTTCGGGAGTGACATCACTTCCAAGATACTTGGATCTTACTTCGATGAATGCAAAGAAAGTGCTCCAGAGTTTCACTGTCCTCTCCACATGCCCTACATTCGTCTGAATCCACACGTCCAATTTTGCATAGATGTGCTCGTAATCTTGTGTGTCCTCTCACGTACCATCATACTAACTTCAAATTTGCTCATTTTGACGACATTTTCCGTCTTGCTCTCGTCAGTGTCACCCCATAGGATTTTTGTGGTTCTACCCACTGTTTCATTATTCCAAGAAGCCTTATGGGATTCTCTCATCCATATTTTTAGTTCAGCTTTTGTTGCGTCGAATTGTTTTGCGTTTGTCAGGTTAACTGCCTCGAGCTCCCTTCCCTTTAAATCTATTACATTCGCCCTTTCGTTGCCGACTACTCCCGAGTGGCCTGGTACCCATATGATGTAAGCGCTGTGGGCGCCATATTAATTCTAATCCAATTTACGCATTCCGTTATTGCTCGTACTTCTGCCTGGAAGCTTGTGTTAGGATTTGGTAAACAGTGGTATATTTCTGTTTCTGGGTCTTCTATATAGAACCCCAGCCTCACTTTGTCCCCCAATTTAGAGCCATCCGTGTAACAACGGATTCCTACTGGTATTTTCTCTAATGTTCCGCTTGACCAAGACATTCTATCTGGGATCAGCGTTTCAAAGTTTCCGACATATTCTGTATCTGGTATACGATCAGGCACGTCTGGTGATTGGGGCTAGATCGCCTAAAGTAAAGAGCCGTTCGGCTGTAAGCGTCGCCTCATATCTTAAATATGTGTCAATGGGTGGAATAACTAGCAACGTACTTAACTTTTGCTGGGTTAACATGGAGGCCTCTCGGTTGAGCCCAGCTCAACACCGTATTCAGAGCCAGTTAAAAACAAAAATAATTGTCATAGAAATTTAAACAAATTTTACATCATTTTATTGGTTTATCACCACTGTGCTTAAGTGAAAGGGTAAAAGGAATAAGAAAACTCAATAGCAAATCAATTCTATAAATTTTTTTATTCTACAACTTTTTTCTTCTCAAAATTCAAATAGACCTTTTACTAAAGGAAACCAGCTAT